GCAATTTTAACTGTGTTATGATTTTTACATCAAATAAGGGGCCAGATTCGGCCCTTACCATACCTTGTCCTTTGATATTAATTTGATTTTGAATATACTCCGTTTTCTCCCTTTATATACCTGCAATCACCAATTGCATTCATATCACTGTGGGTGCAGCGTCTTCTACTTACATTGCAGTAGTGTCTTGCACTACAGAGAACATCCTTAAACAAAGGTATTAATAGTTAAGATTTGTATAAATGAAAGATTGTGCAAAAGGAAAAAATGTAGTTTTTAATAAAAAGTTCCAGAAAATAAGAAATTCAAAATGATTAAAATTGCTGGTTGAGGTGTATTTACAATTTTTAAAATCATTTAAATGATTTTTAAAACCATGCTAGATTAAATCAATATAAAACAATCTCCATTTTTCATAATAATTTTATATTTTTCACAGAGGCTCAAAACAAAAATTTACGAGAATACAGCGTGGTGTAGGCAGATAACAGAGATTAATAAGCATTTACTTGATTTATTGTATATAAGATGGGTTATTAAGATCTGCTGATTTTATTGTCATCAGTTATTATACCAATGAAGACAAGCAGCCGTGTAACGGACATTGAATTTCCAAAAAATTGACTTTAAACGAAATTGTTAAAAATAATTAATACTCCTGTAACCTCAAAAAAGCCCTGAAACGAAAGCCATGAAGGGACATAAGGATTTTCAAAAAAGTGTTAAAGGAAACCGAATTTTCTCGGATTTTCAATCTGTTATAAGAATTACTAATTCGTTCTCGCAGATTATCAATTCGTTCCCTTAAATCAGATAAACTGTTCTCTTGGATTGTAATTCATTCTCTTTACATTTAGTTCGTTCCCTCGGAATGTAAATCATTCCCAAGAAGAACTTAATTAATTTTTTAAAGAATAAACCCTTCATTCCTTCATTTAAATGGATGCACCATTTACTGGTCTTTCAGTGCAGTTATTTATCTGTCCATCTCAGAGCAATATGATTTTAGTAAATAAAAGATGGAGTAGTATACACTCTACATTTCATTACATATTAAGGTCCTAAGTGAGAAAATTACATGAACATATTGCCAATCTATATACTAGAACTCTCATATTTGTACAAGTAAAGTCTTAGATTTTTGTGTTATTTTAGACTAATGGGAAGCACTGACCTTATAAAAGTAAACATGAGTCCCGTGTATTTATTTTTTAATATAAGTCTACATTGACTTAATTGGAAAATTCTTCAAAATGGGTTGTTTAAATAAAAAAGAACGCATTGATTGGTACAAGAGAATGTATTCCCCAAACCCAGATAATTGCAATCCGAGAGAACGGGTTGACTAGATCAAGAGAACGAATTGATAATCAGTGGAACAGACTGTGTAATTCGAGATCTCGAATTACAAATCGAGAGAACGAATTGGAAATCTGTGGGAACAGATTGTATAATTCGAGGTGTCAAATTACAAATCGAAAGAACGAATTGGTAATCTATTGGAACAGATTATGTAATTCGAGATATGGAATTACAAATCGAGAGAACGAAATGATGATCTGTGGGAACGGATTGTGTAATCTGACATCTCAAATTATTTTTTACTATTTTGAGAAATCGACGTGTCCCTTCAGGGTTTTCGTACTACACCGTGCCCTAATCCAGGTCAGATTTCCTTTAATACTCTCGACAGCATCACAGAAGGCAAATGTAAGTAATAAAAACGTTGTTTCAGTGAATATGGTTTTATGAACAATGAACAACATTAGCTCTGCAGACATATTTACTATGACCCGTTAGGTAGTTATGGAATATGTCTGCATAGCAAATGTTGTTCATGACACCATGTTCACTGAAACAATGTTGTTCATTTCTTAAACATTGAATTAAGATTTGGGGAAATCTTGGAAGACGAATTCTTTCCACGTGCTTTATTTCAAAATGGTTGGAACGTAGTAAGAAGAATTAAAATTTGTTGACTTAAAAAATCACACACAAAATTCTGTCCACGGATGATGATGATGTTGTGTAAGGCCTATATATAACAGTGGAACTGAGAAAAATATAAAAATCAAAGTAAGAAAGCTGGAATGGAATACAAACAGAGATCATAGCTTGATCGAACCACACGGCGAGATGATTTTGCCTACATATTTCTGTCACAGTGAAACTGGTTTCGGAACTTCTAAGTTGATAGCGATGGAAAAGATAAAATTATTGAAACAAAAGATAAAATTATTGAAACAAACGATTATTTTTTTTTTCATTCAACAGATGTCAAATAGATCTTCCGTCGGTATGAAGAATGTTTTGAATAATTTCTAAAATCGCGTTTACCTTTTTATCCCGAAATTTCTTTGAAGGTATGTTAACTTAAACAAACTTCACATATGCAAAGAACTATTCTCAGTTCCGATCATTGTTCTATCATTATAAACAGAGATTTTCTGAACTAGATTGCTAAACATAAATGTAAATTTCAAATGTTGGAGCTAGACAAACTTTCAAGACCGAACAACTTCTAGGCCACTGTGTGTCACAACATAGTGATATGGCGGGCCGTTCGCGTAATATTTCATTCTAATTGAACGCCTCAAATGTAAATATAAGAAATAAACAACAATTTTAAAGAGTTCACTGGAAAATAAACTTGGTTGATACGTGATCAAATCTACACAGGATTTGATCATGTGATTAACCAAGTTCATTTCTCAGTGAACTCTTTGACATTGTTGTTTATTTCTGGTATCAAATGTACGGAATCTTTTTAAAGTCATATTACCTGTTTTTAGTATCTAACATTCAATGACAGTCTTTCAGCTGCAGATATTACTTCGCACATTTATGTATTCCGTCTCCTTGTAAGATGGGATACCTTTTAAAGCAGACGACCAATGTCTGTTTTGTCAACTCTTACAGAATAGAATAAACCACGTGGAACTTTCTCTGCCAATTCTAAAGTGAATGCAAGATATGCACCATGTTCTTTCTGACGCCCTAGCCAAGGTCTCATCCATGTTCTGTTTTTTTCTACGATTGTTCAAATGATAAGCAACTCCTGTCATTAAAACGCATAGGGTTAGAATGTAATCGTCTTTTTCCAACCAACTGTCCCCTAAAATAAGAAATTGAAGGAAATATTAATGAACTACATGATTGACAAATCATACTGTCTGTATAATAGTTACATGTAAATTGTTGGTGCAAGATTCCTTTGAGCATGCAGGAAATTCTAGCCACGTTCAAAAATGCTTTCTTACATTAAACTATACAGTCATGTAATTTACCATGGATCAAGCACTGTCCCGTAAACAAAATAAATTCAGAGAAGAATTCATGATTCCTTGGTCCTTATAACTTATAACTTCCAATCAAAAGTTCGTATGAAATAAATCTCCAACAGATGGTCACATATGTTTGAAAAGACGCAGCAGCAAAGATATCAATCCAAGATTTCATATTTTGTACATAGTCTATAAATAACTTTCTTTCGGCACGTCAACATCATCAATATGACGTCATCCCTTAGTGACGCTCTGCTCTGCAGTAGACAATTATCTTAGTCTGCTCAGTCATGCCATGTTTGACATTTCATAAGGAATATCCAGATCAGATTCCTTGTACATAGTTACTCTCTATGCTTGACTTTTATGTTATTAAATGTCTTCTTATTGTTTCACAACTTATATTATCTCAGTTTAGAAAATGATGGTAAACACAACTAAATTAACGTCACTGGATAATATTTACAGGACTTTCTATTTTCAGCAACATTACCAAAGAGTTTACTATCAGAAGAATGTTTACTTGATCTATCAACTTACAAACAAATTGAAATTCAAGTTACTAGACAAGATTCCCTACATGCCCATTATTACTACATAAGAAATTCTTTACAAACATGATCAAGTGTACTCCAACCAGCTACCTATGAAAAATGCATATTTAAGCATTTCATTTGTTATCTGGAGTTCTAAAAAGTGAGCAAACTCGAATTTATTTTTATTTTAATTTCTCTTCTTTAAGCATAAAGATGTGCATCGCAAAACATTTACTTTTTTCTTTACAAAATATTAATGGCTTTAAAAAAATCATATTTCATATTCTTAGATGGATATGTTAGGTAACCAATAAACCTCTAAACGTGCATTTTGTTTTGATATTAAAACAAGTACACAATATCTGCAAAAGCCTTTTTCATTTTTTTTTTATTCAGTAACGTGTAAATATAACCATGCAGGAAAAATGTTATCAAATTGGGATTTTTTAAACCAAAATCTACGGCTTGAAATCATATGATTATTAACTAACGCAGAAAAATGGGACATATATTTATATGATTTCTTAAAAGTTGAAATAAGTCGACAATGCGGTTATCAATCAACCGCAGAAACAATTTTGTATCCTTTTTCTTAGTACACACCTTTCTACAAAAAATCATTTCGACCCAGTCTATCATTTATCTTATTCCGTAAGAGCAAGTTTGGTTTTTTATCCCCCTGGGTTTGATACATGATTAACAGCACCGACACTGAATATCTTCACATTATAAAGCCTTTATTTGTGTAATCTTCTGAAATATTAATTTAAATGCAGGAAAGAAATCCAATGCCCTTGTGTTTCCGGGCTAAGAGCATGAAATATAAATGATATACATTTATGAAAGCCGATGTTTCAGGAAAAAGTGAGAAAGAGTAGCTAACGTATTAAAATTCATTTTTTTTTCTCTTTTGGGAATCATAGAAACATGTCCTTCGATCGACAGTTTGTCAGATAATATATTGAAATGTTAAAATTTTATTATTGAAATAAGATATTTCTATTTACCAGACATAATAATAACGTGATGACGACCACGAGCAGGAAACAGATTTGTGACGTCAAGTATTGTATCCAATCACTCTCTTTAATTCCATGACCCGCGCGAAACTAACGCCTATTTTTTCCATATAATTCACCCCACGTTAGAGTTGGTTCAGTCTCCATAGTAAGTAATCAGAACAGCGGAGAAAAAGAAATACTTTACCTGTTTCTATAAACAATAGTTTTGTGGAGATGGTAAATACATTATATGTAGTGCAAACAGTACTGCTGATTTTGGCTATCAGTGATTTGTGTTGGACTAGGTACCTCCTTCTTAATGAAGACAAAGATGATTTCCTACCACAAATGGAGGTAAGAAATTATGAAATGAAACAAAGTGATGGGTCAATACATTGCCTTATATTTATGTTTTACACTGTTAAGTGACGAGTGCTTACTAAACCAGAATACCAGTATTTCTTCAATTCAATTTTCCTATAAATATCTACCCAAATCTCTGAAATAATTCTGTCTTCGTATTGATCAAATGAATTTAAAAAAGTATCATCAATCAACAAGATATTTCTTTAAAAGATGAAATGTTGAGTTCATTGCATTTCACTTAAACGTGTGTTCAATGAACCATTTTTCCAAACAAATTAAATTTAATTAAATTTAATTGACACTTCGGAATAATCATAATTCTAAAAAAAGTTGTAAAACTTATCTTTGGAGTTCTATGCAAAACATATCATCAATTCAGGGTACTCAAATTTAAAAAAAATATATATATAATTTAATGTTTAAACAGCTTACAAAGATTTCATCATTTCCTCTTATGAAAATGGCGCTGCAACATGCTTTCAACATGCTTTCAACCCATATTACAAACAAGTCAAAAGTTTTAACATCTAAGATTATTGTAAATGTTAGAAACTGTTTTATTTAAAAAATATCCAATGCAAAAGATTGAATACATTTTGCATGTAAGCACTATAAAGTATATTGATGACATAGATTTCCAATTTACAAATCTACGCAGTATATTTTTTAAAATCTAGATTGATAAGTGTTAAGTACAAAACTATAATTTCGAAAAGGCCATGTGACTCTTGAAAATTAGTGAATATGGTTGATTTTGTTAGACACCTTCTAGCTGAAGTCAGGTGCTATTTGGATTTGTTGCGTCTGTTAATTTCATTTCTGTTGATCTATCTTTTGATATTTAACAGTGGAAACTCTCCTTTTGAATCCTGTACTCTTAATTAAGGCCATTTCCTGATAGCATTTGATGTAAAGTTCAGTTAACATGAATAATTGATAACACATAAAAGAGTTTTATCGGGCATATTTAATAAATAGAATGAATACATGAAATTTATATGAAACTTATTTTGAATTGGGTTTCATATTAAACTACATATAAGCTATTTGAAATATTATCATTTTCAACAGTACATTTTCACACTCTATATTAATATAATGTTCATCATTTTTCTTTTTGCATAACATCAAGCAGAGTCAAGTGAATATATTAGTTGACTGTGATTTTATCCCTCAGAAGAAATATTAACTCTTGAAATTATCATTCGTATTAATCAAGGTCCAATTGTGACTTGAATATAAAAAATCTTGTAACTATACTTGTTTCCTCTTGTTTCTCTGGATATAATTTGTAATTTTTCAAGCTCTGAAAAGATTGGGGGAAAATTAGAAAGAAAATGGAGGGGAAAAGGACATTTTCTAGATTATAACATTACATTTATTAGCATATAGTTCATTTGAACATGAAATTAGATACAATGCAAAAAATTGAGAAGCCAAAAAGACCACAAAAATATTTGAAAAACTTTTTTTTTTCAAAGAAATATGGTATTGAAACAAAAAAGTTTGCAAATGAAAGGATGTTTATTATGTTTTGTCTTGAATTTTGAAATATTTTTTTAATTACTAAAATTCACTTGAAAATATATCCTAGATGTTTACATTTCTATATTTCAGATATTATACGATCTACTGTGAAACAAATAAACATAGATTAATATACTTTATTTGGTACCTTTTGTTACATTTTGCGAGCTTTGTAAGGATTAGACAACCTTACAAAGTCGAATATTTCAAAAGAGATGTTGTCGAATTCTCGAAGTACAATATGTGATTTTTATGTACACACGTATTAAAATGCTAGAATTTGCAAGTATGCATTTCTTGTGTGCATTTGAAGCTTACGCATTGCTAGATTAAATGGGAAAAAGGTCTTTCAATGTTACTATCATTGAAATATTGAAGTTATTACGAGGAGAAAAAAGATGATGCCTTTGAAATTCCGAAGTTAAAAACAAGCGGATAATTAATAGTTAATAACATCTAAATATTTAATGAGAAAAATGTGTTGTCATTTCTTGAATAAAATATATGGATATGAGCTATTACTGCTCTCCTCCTCTAAGATTATCCTTTCAACATAGTGAAATTCGCTAAAATCCCGATATTATAAAACGTTACTTCAGAAAATAACTATCACACTGACAACAGAGAGAGAGATTGAAACATGACAAAAGTGCTGTTTTATTTGACAGTGCATTTATTTATCATAACGTTGCATTTCTACTATAAAAACCATTGTGCACTCTTAATGGAATACAAAATTAATACAAAATACTGTTTATTTGGCACACATTGAAAAACACAATGATGCACTATTATTCATTTGAATCGATTTTATTCATAAACTAAAAGATCCCACAGACCTGACTTTGACACCAATAGCATCATGCATGTTATAATATGGACAAACAATAATGATGCATTGGTTGACTATCTGTAAAACTCTGAATGCTGTTGGTGCCCACTACAATGCTTCTATTCTTTTAAGTGTTAAAAATTATAGAAAATTGTTGATCATATATGTTTCAATGCAATAATTTTTTTAATGTCGACTAGTTATTTGAAACAAAATATGACAATAGAAATTCTGTAAATTAATCAATTTTTAATTCATTTAAAACTGTTTCAGTAATTTAGCTTCAAAGTCATACCGATACACAAGAACTGTTATGGGATTTTCCATCGATTGTTATTCAAAATCGTACATTTGTGTAGTTACTTCATTTCCTAAATTTGGATTGAATGGAAGTGAATATCAATATTAAGTTGAGAATTTATTCTACGTAAGTTTTATACAACGTTTGATCTTTTAGTCACGAAGATTATCTCACGGATAACAAACTAATTTTGCGAATTATCAAATGGAGGCTTTTAACAGTGAAAGGCAAGGTTTGATAAATTTCCTGATTAGAATGCTAATTTTATTATGAATTGATTTTGAAGAAATAACAGTATCATTTATTTGAAGTTGAAAATGGTTGTCATATGAAACTACTTTAACATTAAATGAATTACAATGAAATAAACTAGTCCATAAAAAACATTAGTTGGAATTTTTCTCTTGCCAACTTAATTATGCCTTATTGATTCCACCCATTTGATTTCTCTAATTCATAAGCAAAATTTACAATTGTTTAAACATGTATATCAATATCATGAAGGTGAGTCAGAGAAAAACTACTGAAAGAAAATTTAAAAAATATTGTCGCTTTTGGTAACTGTTTTAGTAAAATGTAGCATTTTAATATTTCATATATGCTCTCTGGCATTTCTTTCTATTTACAATGTAATGAATTGATTCGCAATTTTTTTCGGTAAAATTCCAAAAATTTCCAGTTAATTCTAAACAATGCATTACAAAAAAGAGACATCTTTTTGATGCACTCTTGTTGAAACAAATATCATAGCACTTTGTTCAGAAGTATCGATAAAATAATTGACAATGTCTATTCCTTGGTCATTACACAATGTCTGTATTGTTTCATGTCATTTCGTGTGTTCTTTGTCACTGTTTTCTGTGCCTGTACGTAGAAACGTGTTCGTCTTCTGCACACAATTACAACGTAGGCTAGAATCGTTTCATTCATCATCAAGGATTTTCCGGTAAGATTTTTTTTCTTTTTTTTTTTCTTGATTATTTTTGTGGTTTATATATAATCAATGAATATTAGACGTTAACCTCCAAAAAGTTCATTTATGATATATTTAAATAGCAAAATATTCCTCTGCTTATTATACTATCCATTTCGAATCCTTTTCGTAAACAAACGTTTGACCCCTTGACACATCGAAACAATAATTAAGATACGTTGGTCAAAAGACTGAGACAGGAGTTGTTCAACATTGTGGCTCAAAATGTTTACTGTTTTTGTTTACATTGCATGTATATTCTGGACCAATTTACCTGTACAGAACTGTCCATAAGCCTAACTTTTGGGTCTAACTATCTAACATTCTTTCGCCGAATAATAATTAATAACGTATTTTATTATATCCATAATTAATTAATATTTATTTTGTCCAATATTCATGGAAAAATAATTCAGATTTTAAGTATTGAAATAAAAATTCGAATAAAATAACAAAAAAGGAACAAGTTTAATCGTAGATTTTAATTATAGAATTGTTTTCTTATCAAATGTCTATAAAGACTTTTTTCGTAAAATAACCCAATTTACTTAAGAGAAAATTGTACGGAATAAAATAGATGAAGAAAACGAACAATGATCAATCTCAAAAACCTACAAACAATACTAGTCTGTGAACAGGGCATAAAACACGGACCCCGGGAAATGCTAAAAGTGGGATCAGGTGCCTAGGATGAGTTAGCATCCCCTGTCGACCGGTCACACCATGAGCCATATGCGCTGGTCAAGACGGAATAATCTGTAGTCAAATTTAGTATAAAAACAAAGGCCTATCAATTGGTTTGAAATATGTAATTCAAAATATGACAAACCTACGAAATTGCAAAATTTGATTCTCTACGTTTTAATTTAAACGCACATTTAATTGAAAAACAATGCTAGAGACTAATTGAAATATGAGTCCGACTGTATGCTGTCAATGATTAAATTCAGCACAATTTGATATTTTTCTCTTGCACTGTCGAATTCTCTAGAATATCTATAATTAATTTCCAAATTATTTTGCTTCGTTTTTTTCTAAATGATTGCAAGCTACATAATTCAATTACAATTGCACAATCAACTAGGAAAATAAATCAGAAGTTAAATGTACCGTATATTATTTGTAAACTATCAGTATAATAGCAATATTTGAATTTCTTTCACGAATAAAAAAAAATCATGTACATGTATAGTGTTGAATGTTATCAGATGTTGTGTGTGTATTATGTATCGTCCTGTATTCCGTTGTGCACTATGTATACATCTATACATGCTATCGGGATATATGTTATATCCAGTATATAAACGTTTTATATGTATGTTCTAGTTAGTCGTAATATAACATCTTCAATCTAG